CCAGCCAAAATAGATACAAGTGGCCAGAGCAGGCCTTTCCACTCGGATTTTTTTAAGAAGCTTTTTGACAGTGCGCTCTGAAGTGAAATGAAGAGCAAGCAACGTGCCACATGCAGATGATCATCTGAAATCAGCGGCTGGTTTCCCTGCTACTGGAATTTATCAATACTTACAACTAGGGTATTGGGTTGGTTTTATTTCGAAAGAAAATGAAAGACCTCCATTTACCATTGGAAAAATCATATGTATTAAATGTAGCAAATGTACCTAATTTTTCATTCCACTTCTTGAAGTAGTCATTTGCCTTATGGTTAAAAATCAGGATAATGAGTTGCTTGTGTTTAACATTTCTGAAAGACTGTGGGAACATTATTTATTAACAATGAATATACTATAACTGCTGTATTTAAACAACAATGTTGTTTCATTATTTATTAGTCTCTCTCTCGAAATGATAATTTGTTTCAGGTCGGTGCCTTTGACAGACTCCCAAGTTTGGATAGGACTGAAGAACAGTTTTATCTTGTTCCCAGAATGTTTCTTTCTCTAATGAAGAGCTGGAATAACGGGATCATTAGTAAGGTGTTACTATCCACAGTTATGTTCCCTCATGCTGCTATTTATACAACTGTAAAGTAGATATGAAATAGCACCAGCTCTCAGCTCCGAGTGTTTTATTCAGTCTGCGTTAGAGAAAATTACTACAGAAAATGCAAGGCAAAAGGAAATCAGCCTTTTCTAAAATCCTGTCCTTGGCTGAAAAGTCATGGAGATGATTTCCAGTTACAGTATAGGCCATGGAGATGACTTTCCGTGGTCAGGGATTCACAGTGAATTTATTGTCTCAGCTGGAGGGAAGCTTTTGTTTTGTCACCCCCACAGTGCGTTCTTCTTGGGTAAAATAAAGGATTCCTCTCTCTACTGCTTCAGGATGGGCTGTCCACCTGTCCAGCTGATCTAAATCTGTCCTTTGCTCATCACAGAAGCTCCTGTCCATTTCAGAAAAGATCTGTCTATATTTAAGCATCTGCAGAGCTGGGAGTTTACCAGCAGAAAAATGTGCCGGCGTGGTTGTTGGCTTGTACGCTTCCCTTTGCTCTTCTTCCTTGAATGGCATCTTTCCCTTGTGTCATCTGAGGTTCCTCATGTTCATTGTTTTCCAGTTAATGGCTTTTAATTATATATGAAAAGACACTGATAGCTGACATGTCCCCTTACTTTTCAACATAATCATTTTTCTTCTTTGCTCACCAACCTGAAATTACAGGGCTGGTTCTGGTGCTGTTCAGTGGCTAAGATCAGAAGCAGCCCAATGTTTGCAGCTCGTAGGATGGACCAGCCTACTTGAAAGCTCCAGCATGTCAGTGCCCGAGAGCTCCAGGAACCACCAATGGATGGGAATCTGAAGTGTGCCCAGAGGAGTGAGTGGGTGGGACAGATATGTGGGTGGTTGGGAGAAGTTTCAAGTGCTTGATTCCCAAAACATCTTAGATTTTCTGCCAGCACAGACCGCAGTTAACTTTAACAATCCTGAAGACTACTTGCCTGCATTTGATGGGTTAATTACTTGTGAAGCTGACAAGTTCAAACTATTTGTTGCTTGGCAGGCTTGGTTTAAGCCAAGGCAGTGCAAAGTATTCTCTTTCTTTGTTTTCCTTTGGGGACTACATAGGTACCTATGCTGGTCTGAATGTATAGATAAGCTTTACAAGTAAGTACCTAACTTGTTGACACATTTGTATTGGAGGTTCGCTATCGATTCGAGGTCCTCGTTAACAGCTGCGTATACAGGAGAGGCAAAACTGGAAGGTCCACAGCTACTTCCACAACCCTGTAAACATACCTTGGACACTTGTTTATAAGCAGGCATTTCTGGCACTTTCATTTCATTAACAGCTCAACAGTTTACTCACGTAGCTGCTTCTTATTCTCCCTAAAGGTCTGTCATTACGCAGATATATAATATATTTTAAATCATTTATGTTCTCTTTGTCAGGAAAAGGGCTTCCTAAGTGTCAGAAGCCCACAAGAGTTCAAATCCTAGTGTAAGTTATCACTAAGTAGTTATACACTAGACTGGAGCTGCAGGAGAGAAACAGAAGGCCCGAGTGCAGGCCCTTCCTGCCCAAGCTCAATGATGATTTCCGCTTAGTAGCCGGAGGGCTTTATTGTATAAATGGACTTATGAAGAGGGGAGTTTTTTGGTTAGGCTGGCATGCAGATGTCAAAAGGAAGTGGCTAGGGGAGGGGGGAGGAGGTAAGGCAGAGCAATGGGTTTTATTTTTATCCTAAAATTACATTCAGTGAATTTAGTGCAGTGAAAAGTGCTGTCTTGGGCTGTTCAGAGGGTTGTCTTAAAAGTTCTATCTCCACAAAACAGACAGCAGTGACAGTGCAATTTTTTTCTTGATTTTTAAAATATGAATTGGGAGAAGAGGAGAAATGCATTAAGTCTCACATGTGTTTTTTCATCCTCTGGTACCATGGTGTAAATCAAGAACAATTTCTTGAGGTCAATGAAATTAATTCAATATAAAATCAGTGTAATTCAGTATCAGATTTTTTGCAAGGTGTGCAGTGTCTTCTAACAACTGATTAACTTTTTTTAGTGGAGTAAACAGAATGGTTTAATCTTAATTTTTGAGTTTCTGTGGTAGGTTAGTAGCCAGAAGGACAGAGGGGGCTGTGAAAATTGCCTGGACAGCATGGTGTTTCCACAGAAGTTCATGGTTAAAACGCTCCTATGACTTAGCGACAGAGTACTTCAGGGAAGGTACAGGAAAAATAGTTTACAGATCAGCCAAATTCAGTGGGAAAGATGAAATGAAACCCTGAAGTGTGAGATACCAGAAGCCGTTATATTTTCTTTGGGGTGGAGGACCAGTTACAGAGAGCAGTTGTTTGTCACCTTTACTGACCTCTTAAAATAATTGGTCTGCAGCACGTTACAGTACAGCACCGTGCCCCAGATCCTGGGAGTCTAGGTATAAAGGACTGAGCTAGAAGTTCTGCTGCCATTTGAAAGCCTAACTAGGAGCATGTAAAAAGTGGTGTGGTAATGCTCTAAGTGGTGTAGAGCTGTGACGTGTGCTGGAAGCAGGAAGGGAGCAATCGGCACAAGTTGAAACAGTGCACACTTTCAACAAAGTGGTGCCAAGTAGCCACTCACTATCCAAACACAGAACAAAGCCAAAGAGAAGCAGCATAAGTAAGGCTGCAGCTGCTATCAGTAGAGCCAGTAGCGGTATGGGTAATATTATAAATTTATTGAATAGACAAAAATCAGACATAAGAGTGAGCATTGGCCGGACATCACAGCATTTTCCCCAAGCTGCACTTCTCGGCCGCTTCAGGCAAAGGACAGGCTATTGCTATGCACAGTTTCAAATGGATTTGTCAGTGTGCAGCATTCTTAATTTTGGTGACTTGTTTATATCATGGCTGAAAGTAAGGATGTCAGCATTTAAGCAGATGAGACTGAGAAATTATGTGACTAGAAATACCCAGAACACTTGAGCACGCCATAAAAGAGATGTGACTGGAAGCAAGTCGGGAGTTTATTTCTTAGCATAATAACCAGCAATTAATGGTTCCAAATTTATGATTAACTATGGAGCAAAAAGATGGACAGGTAGCTGCAAGTGATTGCTGGAGTCCCTGATGAAGCTCCAGTTCACTTCAATGGGGACAGTTTGTAGTAAGGCAATAGTCTATATATTCATTCCTAGATAAGAAATGTGAAGACCTGTGTTCATCATTTTGCTGAACTGCAGATCTGTTGCGTTCAATTTGCAGATAAAGCCACGTGTTTGGCTTTGTGGTTTGCATCAGGGGATGGGGTCATAGTCGTAACTGCAACCCAACCTAGGAGCTGCGAGCTGAGCCAGACTTTTTCTTCCTGTGCAGTGTCATTGCTCACAAATGCTCTGTGAAGCCCAGCAGGTCTCAGTGACACCGCAGAGGTGCCATTTCTTCTTACTTCAGTTATAACTGAATTAAACTAAATGGCAATTTGGCATATTGTGTGTGGAGTGGGATGGGATCCGGCCTATCTCAGGTGTTGTGCTGCATGTGCACGTTTGGCAAGAGTAAAAGCTGAAGCAAACAAGATCTCACTTAAATAGACCTACAAAGTACAATTTTTCTGGGTACAAATTTTGTTAATGGTGATGGAGTTGAGAGCTTATGGGACTATCTTAAACTCACTTGTGGGAAATACCTCAATGTACTTTCATGCAAGTCAGCAGATTTAGGTCAAAATTTTGCAGAAGATAATGCTTTGTGTATGTTCCTTACCTCTTTCTTTTAATTCTTGGAGTTTTGTTCTGTATTTTGGTGATGGACCAGACATCCTGATCCTGTCAGGGATTCCATATCCTTTTGCCAGTATAGTCATTAGCAGTGTTCTTTATTATTTGAGACAAGGATATAGTAAATAATAACAAATAAGAAGAATTCAAAATTGTACCTGCATATGTTGGTGTTGCTCCATGCCACAAGTGTATTCATCAAAGTGTTAACTTTATACGGTAGGATAAATTAAAACAGTAAGGGAAAGCATAATTAAGTACCTTTTTTTAATGATGATGAAAGCTTTGGAAAGAGAAAAACATAGAGCCAATGTCTACACTGCAGACTTTTGACCATCTAGTTTTGTTGATTTCTGAGCTTTCATTGATGTCAGATGTCAGCAAAAGCCTTTATTCTAGCGTGGTTAAATTGGCAGAAGTGTATTTCTTACTGGTAGAACACACTTTACAGCTTTAATGGCAGGAACTGCAGCAGCATTAAGGATGTTGGTGGCTTCACTGCCAAATGGTCCCAATATGGGCTGCAGGGCTTCATTACTTATAAGACCTTATCTGGCTGGAGGAGGGACTAGTGGAAGTTTGTTTGCATATAAGCTGCCAACTGCTGGGTGATGCACTAATAGCACAAATCTTAACAGCGGCTATCTCTAACCAATTCTTCCTTTCTGTTTTGCTCTGTTTCTCCTGCAGGGCTTGTGAAGTTGGGGGTTCACTGTGTTACATGTCAGAAGGTCGCGATAAAAATTGTCAACAGAGAGAAGCTCAGCGAGTCGGTGCTAATGAAGGTAATTTTCTAATGGGAGATTTTTTTTAAAATCAAGTTCTTGGCTCCGTGTCTTCTGTTCCACGCAAAATTAATATCTTTAATTACATATAACAAACATCCCTGTCAGTACGAGGATTATGTGGAGCATAATAACAATAATTTAGTTATGGGAGATGCTAGGGCAGCTAAAATTAAATGGGAGTATGCCTGTGCTTTGTGAACAAAATAAATGGTCAGCTGCAGAGTTGTTGCTTCTCTGCTGGGGCAGATGTGTGCTGGGCATCTGCCTTCCACTGCTGCAGCAGTGCATAATAGTTGCAGCACTGCAGACTGAGGTGTACAAATGTCAGTAGGAAGAGATTTAAGAGAGGCTGGTGAATGTGTTGTTTGAGTAATCCTACTGCTTGCACTGCTGCATGGGTTCATTATGATCTGATGCGCCAACGTCCGTGACTGTTTCAAGCTGTTGTAATTCTGTTAACATTCTACAGAGCTGAGCCATTGGAAACCATCAAAGTGTCTGTCCCGATGGTCCCAATGACTGCAGTGTACAGAAGAGCTTAATTCATTTTTTACCTAGCCTTGTGATACCCATCTCCTTACATGAGTGTCATTGATTGATCTTGGAGACCTAAAAATAAAATAAATGTATGCATAAAAGTTTTTTCATGTGATTTGGTGACTAGAAAGGCTAAATTCAGCTTGATGGAAGGGATTAGAACTGTACTGCAATCAACAGAATTTCATCAAGCTCTCACCTCCAAATGACACTCACAGGTCTGCATGTGGCGAAGAGCACTTTGTTGAGGTAGCTTCCCTATAAGCACATGGAGCATATATCTTTACAGTGCCCTTTCTTATATGTACTTCTGTGTCAACTGGTTTCCTGCACAAGTAAGTACAGCAATCTTACTAGCAGCAGAAAGAAAATGGAGATTAAAGGAATATGCAATCAGTGAATGTGACGCATACAATGTAAGTTTATTTTTTTTCAGAGAAGGATTCTTAAAGTTTATATTCAATTGTAATGTGTTCAGACTTACCCTCTGGATTTTCATTGAGGTATTACCTCTCCTGCAGTACTGGGGATTTAAACGGTCTTCTAATATAGATCAAAAGTTAGAAAGTGAAATAGGTAAGAAAACTGCAACTTTAAAGGGAGATGCAGCAGATGAATGGAACACAATGAAAGCAAACAAAGTGTGTAAATGGTAAAATCTGAATGAGACTCTAAACATTTTGAATATTTTCCAGAGTAACATAGTTGGAATATTTTTTAAAACATGAGCATTTTGTTTGCTGAGAGACACTGTCTGGTATCTGTATAAAACATTTTATTTACCTCATTGATTTTCAGAGTAGGAGGCAAATCACTTAGCATAGCAAAGTGATCTCTCTGCTTTAGTTGTGTTGCATTACCTCGGTTGTAGTATGAAATCTGAGTAGTGAAATGGTGTGTTAGGCCCTTGTTTACACAGCGCATGCTGAAGCGTGCCATGTTTTCTGAAAGATTGTACAGCATCCTTCTCAGGAGGAAACCACGCATTGTATCGTGATTCTCATTTTCTGACCATTCTTGGTGAGATTTTCTCTTTCAAGGATTCTGTTCTCTGAGCTCAGGAGGTCAGAACAACAGATGGGAGCGAAGTGGTTTGCCCAGTTCTTGCATAAACTCAGTAACCAGATGTCTTTTCAGGAATGCCCTATGTCTGATGGTCATAGACAGGGCCTGAGACTTCTAAGTGAATTTGGAATTGACTGGACTGTTAGCTAGCTTAATCCAGCCTGGCCAAAGGGGGAAAAATGCTTGCAGCTTTCGGCAATCCCAGTGTGACCTTTGCCAGGCATCCAGCTGACAGCTTGCTGTGTGGAGTCAGCAGCCACAGGGAAATAGCCAACAGTGAAGCCAAGTCATGGTGGTGTGGTGGCATTCCTGCTTTGCAAATCTTCCCACTAGCTTACCAGTTCCAGTGACTCTCTTTGCCAGTGGGCTGCAGAACGGTCCCTGGAGCCAAATGATGCAAGACCCCAGCTACTCTCCCAAGCCAGACCCAGCTTGATGGATTTCACTTTAATCCATCCTTGGACAGAAAAACTGGATCTGACAAATACGCACACCTGCCGCAGGAAGCTGTAACGCTGCAGTGCTGTGGCCATTTATCCTAGAGCATAAGGAAGAAGTCTGCTCCTGGTCTTTTCAACATCTAAAATGACAGGCACAAGCATATACAGCGGGCTGCTTTCTCTGCCGTCATTATTCTATTTTGACGTGCTTCTTATCGCCTTCATTTCTGCAGTGTTTTTGCAGTGTTTTATTCTGTACGTTCAGGGAACCGTTCCTTCTTTCTGCAGCTGCTCTTCATCCGAGCTGTGCAGAATTGAGAGGCATTTGGTAAAGTGCCTTCTAATCATAACGTTGTAGTATCGATATTTCTGGAGAGAAGAATTTGGAACTGAAGCAGCTGGTCTCAATTAGCAGAACTGCTGCTATGGAGATGATACACGGGCAAGCACGATGCAGCGCAAGCTGCAGTAAATGTATCATCCAAGCGCTCGCTGCCCTATCAGAGGACAGGGCTGCTCAGTGCACACAAGAGCCTTTTGCTTTGTCATGCCCTTACTCGCTGAACACAGGCTGGGGAGCAGCCTTCCTTTCCCAGCTCCAGCTTGGGACTGGTTGGGAGCCTGCTGCTGGGGCAGAGCTACAAATGTGATTTCACAGATGAGAACAGGAGGGCTGGTTCTGTTCTCGCTCCTGCTTTCACACAGCCGGTTAAAGCTTCAGCTGGGTTTCTTCAGCCACGCTGCGGTAACCCCCATGGATGTGGAGACCTGCCTCCCATGGTACCTCTAGCTTGCTCTAGCACAAATCAGCAGAAAGATTTCAGAAATTAGTGGGGTTATAGGGAGCATCTTGAGTTTAAATATAGGGGTTCCTTAATCTCTCTGAATTACTTCTGAATCACTGAGAGGGAAATTAGGCCCAGAATGCAAGAGCTGAATGTGTCCAAAAAGCAGTAAGCTTTTCTGAACAGGCAGATTCACTGTTGATGGTTGTATTTTCAGTACCAACACAAGCATTTGGAGTTTATAACTTCAAAATATAAAGGTTAAAGCAAATCTTTCCTCTGATGGTAGCCAAAGCTTGTTTGGAAACATTGAGGCATCTCATTAGATGTACTCAGAAGAGTCCTTTCCTCTTTACTACCTCACCCCTTCTCTTCCACTCCCTCCTTCCAAAGAATAAACAACAACAAAAAAATCTACTCTTTTGGTGATCCATCAGAGGAAATAGTCTTTGGACAGAGTGGTAGTAGAAGCAATGGGAGCATAAAGGGTGAAGAGCAAGAAGGGGACAGCTGGCCTTGGGCTAATTACTTGAACACGCAGGCATCCTGAGAAAGCCACAGATGTCCCAGGCTTGATGACTAGAGCCCAGAGCTCTGTATGTGTGCTTTGTGTAGATGTGCCTTTTGTTTGTTCTGACGAGTCCTCCAGTGCTGGCCTTCAAGTGAGGCAGGTATTTCCAGGGTGGGGGATGGAAAGAGACACAGTCCCTTCCACGTTTTTCTTGTGGAGCTCAATTGAAACGTGGGTGGTGGGTTTGGGGGAGGTCATTTTAGTGCCTTGTGGTGCTAATGAGCTCTGCTTCTAAAAACTCTGCAAAGGTGTAGTGTGTGCTCTTAGGTAGGGAGGATCATGTAATAATCCCTGTTGGAGATCACCGATTGCATGAAATAATTCATTGGAGGGATAGGTTACAGGATCAATGTCAACCTTTCGGAACTGCCTAGATAACTTATGAAAGCATATTTGTAAATAGGTGCTGCTTTGTATGGTCTTTTCATCATCTCTTGCTTCTTCCTGAGTTTCTGTTTCAGTAGCTACTTATTTCTTTACTACTTTGTCCTACTTTGAGTCTTTCCTTCCTTCTTCATTTTCTTTCAGTTATTATTTCGCCTCTTTTTAACCTCTTCATTCTTCTTTTTTCCTCCACTTTGTGATTTCTCTTTTTTTCTCTGTCTTTTCCCCTTTTGCTAGAGAAAGCCATGTAATTGTTTTGTTGCAAAAATTGCTGAAATACAGCATGTCTGGTTGAGGTGCCCATTCTTCAAGGAAAAGGTTTAGAAATTGGGCACAATTCAGAAAGTATCTGAGAGAGTAAGTAAACAATCAGAACTCATGTTTCATGAGAGACTCGGGGGACTCAATCTACCTATTTTATTAAAGAGGTTAAGACTTAACTGAATCATGGTCTGTAAATACTAATATGGAGGATAGGCTTTTGATGAGAGAGGATATTACAGTCTTGGGGGCAAAAAGCTTATTGGAAACTAATAGTTGTAAGATGCAGGTAGACAGATTAAATGTAGAAATACTAGGCCTATGACCACTGGATGAAGTCACTAATTGGAACAAGCCACTGAAAGCTCTGTTGAGTTTCTCCCCTGAAAGATTATTAAAATTCATCTTAAATTGCTGTGTGTTTTTCTAAAACCTAGCTCCTAGTTCAGCTTCAGCTGCTGGAGTTGCAGCAGGACATAATTGAAAATGGTTTCCTGATCCGTCCTATGTGTTAGCTCTGGCTAGAGTAACACAACAGCCTCTCTGGCCTTAAAATCCATGGAGCTGTGAATTTCTAATCACACTCTTGAAATCTGTAAAAAGTCACTTATCTCTGTCTGGAGCATGAAGGGAGGTGCATGTGCAAGGTAGCCTCAGAAGCAGAAATTTAGGCTCCCCCAAGCAAAGCTGAAGAAGGAAATACTTGACAGCAGCATCTTTGCTTTGGAATACCCCATTTTCAGGCTTTTCAAACAAAAGACTGTCAATATTGGCTGACCTAGCTGTCCTCAGCTGCTGACTGGAGGCCTGGTCTACAGAAATCATTACCAGAATAGCAGGCCAGTGTCAGGGAGAAGCTAAATCTGAGACAGAAACGGACTGAATAGTGTAACTTGGTTCAAATTCAGCCTTGATCATAACAAGCGCAGTTTCCCTGGCGTTAACGAAACCAAA